TATTGTGTGTGTGTGTGTGTGTGTGTTTTGTGAACTAAAAGGTCTGTTGTCTAGACGGAGTGATCCGAAGAGTCCTGGTGTTGGAGGGTGTACCTTGAGTTTGAACGGTCGACTAAAACGACAAAAAGAGGTAATGAGAAACTCCAATATCCATCTTACGCCAAGTTGGCTAAATAATAATCGATATGTAGTGTTTGCGCATGATAGAGTAGGTTCAGGATTTTAAAATCTCAACTTAATATCCTTAGTATCACTTACCCCAAGTACCTTGCTAATTTAATGAATGAAACTAAAATGGAGAAAACAAGGTGGAAGTTTATTAACATTTTTTTAATGGCAAATGTGATAGATCTAGCTAAATATAATTCCTTTTCAATATGTTCTATTTTCATCCGTACAAATCTAGTAATCAAATAACTAAGTGGATAGAAAACGTATTCTACATTTTGGTGAATATCTTCCAAAGAGCCTTGTCTGGGTATAGTTCACAGCTCTTTGACCTTTTTTTTTAGCTGTTCTATATATGTATATAAGTATTTATATACATATATACGCATAGCTTATTCCACTCATCGAATTCAATAAAGCATTGACAAATTTTTTACACACACATATTAACTATAAAACAAAAAACAGTGACAGAAAGGAAACTTTAAATATAAATTAGGGGTCAAGAATACGAAAAAATTTCCCGAAGAATATTATATATTGTACACAGAAATTCCATTTAAAAATGACAAAAGTAGTGAAAGAAAGAGACAAAATTTCAAGCACTAATAAAGAGAGGATATGTAACTTACACTTGTTATATGAAAAATATGAAATTGGTAAAATGTAGATTCCTCTAAATGGTGAAATAGAATTACTTAGTGCTTAGTATAGATGCACACATTGATTTTCATTCCTAAAGTCAACACGAAAAAACACGCAAGAGAGTTAAAAAAATCTTACCCTTTGAATATTACACCAGAATTGAAAACCAGGAAGTAATTCTCCAGACGGAAGCCACTTTGTAGAAATAAAAGGACGGAGGTGGGGGTGGAGAGAGAATAAGGAAGAGGCGTGCTTATGAATTGCAAGGGGTAAGCATTTGTGTGCGACCTGGGGTGTTATGCGAAGGAGGTACGGACGGTGTTAGGTGCGAACCAATGGGGACCAGACACCTCGTTGGTAGGATGCTATGCCCTAGAGGGGTCACCGTCGTCTGAGAGTTCGCAGAACCCATATAACTACTCGTATTCGCCACCTCAGAAGAAGTGGAAGCTTTTTTCGCACATAAGAACACCAAAGAGGTCTGCTTTGTGTGTTTATTGTGGCTTGAATCCGCATTCACTCTTTTCTCCTTCACGCAGCTGGGCCCTGGTGGTCTCGGGACCGCCGCTTCATCCCAATCCAAAGAGGAGGGCGGCAGGAGGTAGGAGCCGGGGCCTTTATTCCCACCCCTCGCTCGAGGCCCCTGCACATTACCGCATGCAAAATCCATCTCGGACTCCAGAGCACTCAAATACCGTTCTCCGAATGATGATTTCCGTTTATGGCGCCGTGCGTAGATGCCCTCGGGAGCCTCCCGTTTCTCCTGGAACCTCCTAGAGGGTTTGGGTTTCTCCCCGGACACCAGGTGCGCTCGACCGGGCTCCTCCTTTTGCAGCCCCGAGGGGCCCTTATGCTTGGGGTGCCGGGACGTCTCCGGAGGCCCCCCCGCCCGCGCGGAGAGGCCGTAGACGGAATACAGAAGTTTCCCCAATCGTCGCTGGCAGGGGAAGGTCGGCTTCGTGGAAGGGCACCTCAGAGAGGGGCCGGGGCCCCCCTCCTGGGAGTTCCCCAAAGAGCCCCGGACGTATCCCAGACGGGACCTCGATTTCCCAGTCGGGGAGCCATTCCCCAGCCCGCCCCCCCCTCCCCCCTCTCCCCAGTTCGAGCTGGACCGCTTAGCATTAAATTCGTTCTCACTGATGTGTCTCACCGGTGTGGTGCGGGAAGGGGTGGGGCTTTCCTGAGTCGCCTTACGCGAACCGAGATGGCAGTGCGTGCTTTCCGAGCCCAGGCGAATCCGCCCGGA